CAGTGGCATTCCTATACACTAACAACAAGACAGAAGAAACAGAAATTAAGGAGTCAATCCCATTTACAATTGCACCCCAAACCATAAGATACCTAGGAATAAATCTAACCAAAGAAGCAAAGAAACTGTACTCAGAAAACTATAAAATACTCATGAAAGAAACTGAGGAAGACACAAAGAAATGGAAAAACGTTTCATGCTCATGGATTGGAAGAACAAATATTGTGAAAATGTCTATAATACCTAGAGCAATCTACACATTTTTAATGCAATCCCTATCAAAATACCATCAACCTTTTTCAAAGAAATGGAACAAATAATCCTAAAATTTGTATGGAACCAGAAAAGACCCAGAATAGCCAGAGGAATGTTGAAAAAGAAAAGTAAAGCTGTTGGCATCACAATTCCGGACTTCAAGCTCTATTGCAAAGCTGTCATCATCAAGACAGCATGGTACTGGCACAAAAACAGACACATAGATCAATGGAACAGAACAGAGAACCCAGAAATGGACCCTCAACTCTATGGTCAACTAATCTTCGACAAAGCAGGAAAGAATGTCCAGTGGAAAAAAAGACAGTCTCTTCAACAAATGGTGCTGGGAAAATTGGACAGCCACATGCAGAAGAATAAAACTGGACCATTTCCTTACACCACACACAAAAATAGACTCAAAATGGATGAAAGACCCAAATGTGAGATAGAAATCCATCAAAATCCTTGAGAAGAACACAGGCAGCAACCTCTTCGACCTCAGCTGCAGCAACTTCTTCCTAGAAACAGCGCCAAAGGCAAGGGAAGCAAGGGCAAAAATGAACTATTGGGACTTCATCAAGATAAAAAGCTTTTACACAGCAAAGGATACAGTCAACAAAACCAAAAGACAACCGATAGAATGGGAGAAGATATTTGCAAATGACATATCAGATAAAGGGCTAGTATCCAACATCTATAAAGAACTTATCAAACTCAACACCCAAAGAACAAATAATCCAATCAAGAAATAGGCAGAAGACATGAACAGACATTTCTGCAAAGAACACATCCAAAAGGCCAACAGAAAGTGCTCAGCATCACTCGGCATTAGGGAAATACATATCAAAACTCAATGTGATACCACCTCATACCATTTAGTCTGAATGGCTAAAATTAACAAGTCAGGAAATGACAGAGGTTGGCGAGGATGTGGAGAAAGGGGAACCCTCCTACACTGTTGGTGGGAATGCAAGCTGGTGCAGCCACTCTGGAAAACAGTATGGAGGTTCCTCAAAAAGTTGAAAATAGAGCTATCCTACAACCCAGCAATTGCACTACTGGGTATTTACCCCGAAGATACAAATGTAATGATCCAAAGAGGCACATGCACCCCAATGTTTACAGCAGCAATGTCCACAATAGCAAAACTGTGGAAAGAGCCAAGATGTCCATCGACAGATGAATGGATAAAGAAGATGTGGTATATATATATATATATATATATATATATATATATACACACACACACACAATGGAATATTATGCAGCCATCAAAAATTTGAAATCTTGCCATTTGCAAAGACGTGGATGGAACTAGAGGGTATTATGCTTAGTGAAATAAGTCAATCAGAGGAAGACAATTATCATATGATCTCACTGATCTGAGGAATTTGAGAAACAAGACAGAGAATCATAGTGGAAGGGAGGGAAAAATGAAACAAGATGAAACCAGAGAGGGAGACAAACCATAAGAGACTCGTAATCTCAGAAAACAAACTGAGGGTTGCTGGAGTGGAGGGGGGTGAGAGGGATGGGTGGCTGGGTGATGGACACTGGGGAGGGTATGTGCTATGGTGAGCACTGTGAATTGTGTAAGAGTGATGAATCACAGACCTGTACCCCTGAACCAAATAATACATTATGTGTTAATAAAAAAATAAAATAAAAATAAACACACATACACACACACCCACAAAGATATATCTCTTTGCAACTGTATTAAGCTCAGTACTTGGACTATTATCCCCTAATTTTCGCTTATTATGTTCCTAATTGCTATCATCAAATACACAAAGTAAATGTAACAAGGGGTATAATCCTCCTGTTCATTTTCTGAATGTCTTAGAATACTTGCTGTTGCAGTAGGAAAGATTTAATAGACATCTGCCAATTTTGGCTTTAAAAAATAGTGTACATGCTAACTAAGGTCTGAAGATCCATCATTATTCAAACAGAATCTCAATTTCCTTTCCAATTAAATACAATGTCTAAATATATATGCCACATAACACATTTTTAAATAGGTTCCTTTTTTTATAGTCATGGGAGAAGCCAGGAGAATTATTCCATTAAATAATTTCAAAATCATCAGAAGTCTAGCATGATATACACATTAAAAATCAACATGACAAAAAAACTGCCATAAAGAAATCATATAGAAATTTCAGGAACTTTACTTTTTTTGTCAGTAAAGCATTTCTTTACCTAAATTTCAAATACTGTGGAAAAGCTGAACGAATAAGATGAATATCTCCACCTACATTCAACATTTCTGAGCATTTTGCTACAAATGCTATGCTACCTCTTCCCTTTCCCTTTATGTATCAATTTAGTTTTTACAAATCCTCATGTAATCAAATACATTAACACTTTTAAAGAAAAACAGATGACACTGAGTCAGATAAATACTATAAATATCTGTATATAAATTCAGTTCCACTTGCCACTAAATGGGTTCAGACAGATCAAGTTTGTCCCAAAGGAGAATTTTAATATTTAAATTTTAAATATGTAGATAAAGGATGGTGGGCTGTAGTTTAATCCCATGTTACAGAGGAAACTGAAGCATAAAAACGGTCAATAATTTATTAAAGACTCAAACAAGTAGCAAAATGAAGTACATGAAAACAGGCAATCTACTCCAGAGGCCATACTTCTAACCACTGCTCCAGGGAGCCTCCAATCCAACAGGAAATCCTCATGATTTTTTTTATTTATCCAGAATAATTCCATTATCCCTAATTACAATGCTGCCCTAATCTGAAACACCATCCTCTCTCACTGGGTTTACTGCACTAGCCGGCTAACTAGCTATCTTATTCTTCTATCCATTTAACTAATAGTAAAAGCCAATGTTCTCTAACCTACAAGAAACTCCAGGTTCTGTACCTTCTCATTTATTTTCCATCAGTGACCTCCCCCACTCCTCTCCCTTCTCTCACACTGCCAGCACACTGGCTTCTATGTTGCTTCTCATCCCCAGGCATGTTCCCCTTTAGGGCCTTGGCACTGACCAGTCCTCCTGCCTTGCACACGGTTCCTTTTGTATCTACCTGACCACCCCCTCACTCCTGTACTAGCATTTTCTGCCCACTTTATTTAAAATTGCAACTGCCCCCCACAAAGAAATTGACTCTCCAAATCACTCTTTCCTGCTCTAGTTTTTCTTTCTAACACTTTTTACCCTCAAACATTCTAGACAATTATTTTTTTATCTCCCTCTCTTCTGCTCTTAGATTTTACATGTACCTTAAGCCCTTAAAAAATCATCTAGTGCATAGTAAATGTTCAAAAAATAATTGCTGCTATTAAGACATCTATGTCAACCCAAATACTTTGAGCTACACTCTTCTACATCTATAGTTGTTAGCATTTCTCAGGATCTCACAAAAAATTAGAATTTCAAAAAATATGCTTAAATTACATTTTAAAACAGCCAAGTGTTATACACTCATCCTTTTTACTAAGATTCTTTATGTAGAAATATACTTTATAAGCATGGAGATGTTCATGATGTCACTCAGAGAAGACAGGGAAGGAAGAGCTTATATAGTATGATCCCTTGTATAAGGAAACAGTATGTATTTGTATTTACGGGTTTTCTGGTATGATGACATTAGGTATTCTTAAAGCATTTCTCCCTTCTGTATATTCGTATTTTCTCATTTTTTCAATAATGAATATGTATTATTTGTATGATTAACAAATAAATATACTATGCTCCCCAAAATTATCTTTACAATACAATTACCAGCTAAATTGTAACTCTTGCTCTATGAATAAAATATTTATTCACTGTTAATAAAACTGTTTTATAAATGCAATATAGATATGTGCTTTTAATGTTATTTAAGACACCACCTACAGATATTTATCTAATTATTTTCTTTATAAGAGGGATGATGCGGCTAATTCTTTTGTTTATACAGAGTAATGTGGCACAAATGTGCTAAATATTACCAATATATCAATATATCTATAGGAAATCCACATATTCAATCTAACTTTCAAATATTACCTTTGAAATACTCTTCTCAAATACTCTTTTCAAATACTCTTACTTTGAAAACTAAGTACTTTTAATAGGCTTTTATATTTGCAGTATAAATTTATAAACATTTCTTTTTTTATCTTTAAATTCAGAACTGTAACATAAATATACTCAACTTGAGCTTTTCTTGTTGCTGTGAAAAGTATTAATATTTATTTCAATTATTCCCTGTTTCAAAAGTATTTAAAGTAATGTAATTAATAAAGTAAAGCTATGGATTTAGAAAAACTGTATTCTATATTTTACACATCTTTAAAGGCTACTACTATTTCGCTTAAGGAAAATCAACAAAAAAGCTACTTTAATGCCAACTCTTAATTTAGAAAATATATTCATTTTCAGAAAAATTTGGAATCCTTGCTTTAACTTCTAAAATGTATACATAATAGTATTAATTAACATCTCAAAGAAAAGCTTAATTATGATTAATTACTTTCTTTCCAAACAAAACACAAGCTCACTTACTGTCTATAAAAGGAAACCTAAATAGGTTTGTAATACTTTTCCATGATCTTAAATCTAGAAAGAAAATATATATTTTAGTGTTTACATAATTTATATCTGAAGTTCTTTTAAATGAGATTTGATTTAGGTTTTTCCAAACTTAAATACTATTCAACAATTTTTTTAATAACTGCAAAAACTTTACAAAAAAATAAATACACAAGGGTATTTAAAATCAAAGTTTACATACCTTGGCTTCCGAAATGCTAAACTATATTGCTGGCAAGCCAGACCCACAGTGGGAGTGTAAACAATAGGCATGAATTTCTCAATGTCAGACATTAGCACACTATAAAAGAGCTTTTCATTTCTGTCTTGAAGATCCATTAAGAGAAGATACCTGTGGAAATTGGACATAATGAGATCTATATTCCAACAAGTTATGAAACAGCTGCTTAGAAATATGAACGTTTTTCAACAAAGTATTTTTTATGTCACGTAGAAGACATCTGATCAAAAAAGACTTTAGAAATATTCTTAAACACCTCAAAGAATGAACCATAAACCTGAGCAGTTGTCGTTCAAACGTTAAAATCATTGCTGAAACAGCACAGTTTTATTTAATACCTGGAAAGACTTTATCCCTTTTTTAAAATAAAAATACCACTATAGATATAATTTAAACATTAACTAAGTAAATAGACTTCATCCTGTAACTTGTAGTACTGAATAACGAAGGGAAATGACAAGCAGAAAATAAGGAATTTAGCACCAACCCTAAAAATTACTAAGGTAGGCAAGTTCAAGAGACTTATTGTTTGTATCAAATGGCCTTTTTCCTTCTAGAGGCATTTCTAACCCAGAGTTCTCTTTCTAAACATCAACCTTATCATGTTACCTGTAACCTTCGATAATTCATAGAATAAAACCCAAACTGCTCAGTACTTAAAATAGTCTTGCAAAATTGTACTTAATCTTACCAGCATTTTTAAGTTGATTTCCATTCCCTGGAATAGTTGAAAATGCATGGAATTTGGAGTCAGAGATCCAAGGATTCTAATGTTTGGCAAATAGATGGGTTATAGCAAACCCTGTAACATCTGGGAAGATGATGACTTTCAGGCATGCTAAAACTGATTTAGTAATGTGGAAATCATCATTGCTAAATCAATGATCAATTCTCAGACCTCATCTTATTTTACCTGTGAAAACATGTGACACAGGTGCCCTTCCTTAGAGCTCAATACCCTCTTTTTCCAGGCCATCATATTTTTCTTGGTTTTCCTGTCTCACTGGTCATTCCTTTCCTGTTTCTTTGTTGCTTCCTCCTCTTCTCTGAAAGCTCTCTAACACCCATATCTAATATGTTAGGAAATTAGGTTGGCTTTACCTTTAACATATATCCAAAATCTATACACCTTCATTACTACCATCCTGGGTCTAATCTCTTACCTGAATTGTGATAGTCTCCTAAATATTCTTCCAGCCTATATTCTATTCTCAACATTGCAGACAGTCTTTTTGAAATATAGGTCAGATCATGCTGATCTGTTCAAAACCCTGACTGGCTCCCATCTCACCCAGAATAAGACCAAAGTCCTTTAGTGGCCTTCAAAGCCACTCACAATCTGTCCTCCACTAACTTGCTAACTTCCCCTCCCAACCTACCATTTTCCCCTAGCTCATTCTGCTGCAGACACAGGTCTCTGCTGACCCTTGAACATACTGGCTGAAGAACACTATTCCCCAGATTTCCTCATGTAGTTAATTACCTCACTGCCTTTGATAACTCGCTCATGAATCACCTTCTCAATGAAGTCTATCCCGACTGATATAACAATATAACTACACAAACTGACCATCCTAACCCCCAGCATTCTCAGCTCCTCTTACCCTACTTTTTTTCATCAGCACCCATCAATTTCTAGCATATTAATTTATTATTTTACTATTTAGTATCTAATAATTTTAAAAAATAATTTACCTAAGTTCCCTGAGGGCAGAGATCATCGTCGATAATCCCAATATCTCAAAGAACACCTGACACTCAGTTGATGCTCAATAAATATTTGAGGAATAGACTGTGGTAAAAACATGAATGTGACCAGCTCTTACGAGGCAGAGGTAAATGGCCCAGAAAAAGAATATAAAGTAAAAACATCAGAGTCTGAAGGAAAGACTTATGAACAAATGAAAGGGATTATAAAGGAGTTTAAGAAGCAGCAAACATATACATTAGGCAAACAGGCCAGCCTCTTTCCCCAGCTGTCCCCATCCTCACTCATGGGTTCATGAAAAGTAGCCATGGCAGGGATGGAGGTTATCCATGGGCTCAGCAACATGGACTTCCACTCACCAAAGCCAACCTGGCTAGAGACACTGCTGAATACCCCATCTGCGAGAAGAGACCAATGCTAAAGAGCTGCTGATATGGCGCCATTCTAGGGGGTGATCAGCAAGCTAGCTGGTGGCAGGCTAATTACACTGGACTGCTTCCATCATGGAAGGTGTGGTGTTAGATTCTTACTAGAATAAATATTCTGGATACAGATTTGTTTCCCCTACACACAATACTTCTGCCAAAGCTATATCCAAAGATTTACAGAGTGCCTTAAACACCATTACAGTATTCCACACAATACTGCTATTAATCAAAGAACTCACTTCCAATGAGAGTAAATGAACTGTGGCAATGGGCCCATATTCATGGAATTCACCATGTTTCCCACCATCTTGAAGCAGCTGCCTTGATAGAATGGCAGAATGGCCTTCTGAAGACTCAGTTACAGCACCAGGTCGTGGCAACCTGCAAAGCTGGGGCAATGTTCTCCAGGATGCTATATATGCTCTGAATCAGTGTCACTATATGGTGCTATTGCTCCCTAGCCAGGATTCACAGGTCAAAGAATCAAGGGATGGAAACGGAAGTGTGCGGCACCACTCACTATGACCCCCAGTGACCCACTAGCAAAATTTCAGCTTCCTGACCCCATGAACTTATTGCTCTACTGGCCTAGAAGTCTTAGTTCCAAAGGGAGGAATGTTTCTACCAGGAGACAATGACTCCATTGAACTGGAGGTTAATACTGCTGCTAGCCACTTTGGCCACCATACATCTTTGAATCAACAAGCAAAGAAAAGAGTTACTGTGCTAGATGGGGTGATTGATCCTGACTACCAAAGGGAAATTGGACTGCTACTCCATTATTATTATTGTTCTAATTATTATTATTTAAAGATTTGTTTATTCATCTTAGAGAGAAAGAGACCGCACAAGTCAGGGAGGGGCAGAGGGAGAGAATCCTCAAGCAGCCACCCTACTGAGCATGGAGCCCAACACGGGGCTCGATCCCATGACCCTGAGATCACGACCTGAGCTGAAACCAAAAGTCGGCTGCTCAACTGAGTGAGCCACCCAGGTGCCCCATCTACTCCATAATTATTACTAATCTTCAACCCCCCAGCAAAAAAGAATTCTGCCAACAGACTGCCTTTGGACTGGAACTGCAACTCTTCCCTTGGTTTCCAGCCTGCAGATTTAGGACTTACCTAGGCTCCATAATGATGTGAGCCAATTCCTTAAAAATCAATCAATAAATCAATCAATCAGTCAGTCAGTCAGTCAGTCAGCCTCTCTCTATAGAACCAGCAGGATATGTGTATGTTTTGGCTCTTCTTCTCTGGAGAACCTGACTAATACAAATACTAGGTACTGGTTTGCTACCTCTTCCAACCTTTGCAATAATATTTTCAAATAACTATTATTTCTTTCAACCCACAAATAAAAAAACCTCAGGTTTAGAGAGTTGCAGTGCCTTAGTAAGAAAGGGCCCAGCTGCAAGTACAGGGCAAGACAGACACAGTGGTCATGGCAATGGTTGCAATAGTTTGCTTAAGGCCCCTAGTGAACCACAGCCCGAATTTCAACTGAAGGCTACCCAATTCCAAAGGTAGGGAACAATATTACCTTCATCTTTGTGCAGACATGGAAGCGAATTCTAAAAGTAAGTGACCCAAGTTTGCAGTAGTGTTAGAACCAAGCCTGGATGTTGAAAAAGTGTGCTTTTATCTACAATGAACTTCAAGTCTGACTGAAAGCCATTATGTCCTGTTTTACTCTGTCTTAAAGGGCATTTCCTGATAATTCACCTTCACCGCAACCATCTCATCATAAGAGAAAAGCAGTCTCTTTGAGGATATATTTAGAAAGGAGAATTTTATATTATTCCAATGCTCCTACCAAGGGTAAAATTTTTTTTAAAACATCATTGTATTTATGGGGCGCCTGGGTGGCTCAGTCAGTTAAGTGTCAGCCTTTGGCTCAGGTCATGATCCCAGGGTCCTGGGATCGAGCCCCACATCGGGCTCCCTGCTCAGCGAGGAGTCTGCTTCTCCCTCTCTCACTCCCCCTCCCTCTCTCCGCTGCTTGTGGTCTGTCTCTCTCTGTCTCTCAAATAAATAAAATCTTTAAAAAGGGGGTGCCTGGGTGGCTCAGTTGGTTGAGCGTCTGCCTTCAGCTCAGGTCATGATCCTGAAGTCCTGGGATCGAATCCCACATCGGGCTCTCTGCTCAACAGGGAGCCTGCTTCTCCCTCTCTCCCCACCCCCGCTCATGCTCACTCTTTCCCACACTCTCTCATGCTCTTTCTCAAATAGTTTTTAAAAAAATATTTTTAAAAACATCATTGTATTTATACGTAAGTTCATCTCAAACTTGACTACTCTTTCCAAGTCACTAGATATTTTAACTTTCTCAACCAATAAAAAATAAACCAGACAACTGCCTAAGAGAAATATAAAAATCATCTTCAGGAATGTGTTACCTGTCAAAGTCAGAGGTCAGACGCTCAAAATTTTTAATTACTCTAAGAACCTGGATATCCTGACTGATGAAGCAAGGTGGCAACAATCCATGAATATTCAACTGTTGTCTCTCTTCCAGGGTAAAAGCCAACTCCTATGGAGAAAAGAAAAACACAATAATATGAAGGGAATAAAAACCAAAACCTATATACATATACACACATAAGATCCAACAGATACATGGAATAAAAAATCAGAAGATCTGGTATTATCTAAACACGGCCATTCAACTGTGAGATCATATCATCGCTCAATACCTGTTTCCTCATCTTTAAATATTTGAATACTATAATATTTTCAGATCTGTGTCATTCATATTGTTAGTTTTGAAATTAGGTAATGCTAGGTCACCTATGACCTGCTGTGCCTCCCCTATAAAATAGATTTTTTAAAAAAAGCCTTATATATGATTGAGGCACCTGTTCCAATACTCCTCTCCCAAATTATCTCCTATTATTTTCTTAATGTTGATGCTTTTTTTTTTTTTTAAGATTTTATTTATTTGAGAGAGAGAGAGAGCACAAGCAGGGGGAGCGGCAGAGGGAGAGGGAGAAGCAGACTCCCCACTGAGCAGGGAGCCCAACGCGGGGCTAGACCCCAGGACTCTGGGATCATGATCTGAGCCAAAGGCAGATGCTTAACCGACTGAGCCACCCAGGTGCTCCATCTCCTACTATTTTTTTTTTTAAGATATAATGTATTATTTGTTTCAGAGGTACAGGCTGTGATTCATCACTCTTACACAATTTACAGTGCTCACCATAGCACATACCCTCCCCAGTGTCCATCACCCACCCACCCCATCCGTCTCACCCCCCTCCACTCCAGCAACCCTCAGTTTGTTTCCTGAGATTAAGAGTCTCTTATGGTTTATCTCCCTCTCTGGTTTCGTCTTGTTTCATTTTTCCCTCCCTTCCCCTATCCTACTATTCTTATTATACTCCTAGCTACACAAAAATTTTCACCATTGCCTGAACACAGAACAGTCTTTTATTCTTTCATGACACCATGGACAAAAATGTTTTCCTTGCTTTTCCACCTTTCAAGTCTGACCTCAAATGCTCCCTCTTCTCTAAAGCCTTTCCAGACTCAGCCAATATGTCCATTAGAACCCTATTATTATTCTATGTTACTTGTTTACATGAACACTTACTGAATAAAACATGAGGCTTGAAAACAAGCAATGAAATATAACTGATGGATTGATACAAAAATCCAGAATGGACCAAAGAGATTTGCTGGAACATAATATGAAGGAAAGTAATAGCAGAGAAACCCTGGTAGTCATTAATCTGGGAGAATGGGATGAGCAGTACCCCTGGAGAAGACTGCCCCTGGAGCTACCAAAGCCCAAGAGGCTTCTCTGAATAGACGCAGTTGTTCCCCTGGGTCTGGCAAAAGTTCGCCAACAAGGTGATGGTTGGGTTCACTTACGGTAACCACACCTGATGCTTCTTAGACAACCTGGATGGTAGAAATGTGCTAACTTTTACTGGGTGATTTTACAGCCATCCTCCTCTGCCCCTGAAAGCTTCCCACAATGGCAGAATAGTGACTCCTGAGTATTACTCTGGGAAAAAGACAATTTGGTTCATCCCAGAGGTAGATTACACATCCAATCTCAGAAAGCAGGTGAAGGAGGTCAACAAACAACTCTTTCTTCTAATTTTTTATATGTTTAGGCCCATTCATTCATGTCACTGGTGGAAAGCTTCATGTTTGATTCAACTCCTGGGTCCAGGGGGCAGCCTGAAGAAAGTCAAATAGATTTATCCCCTGGATGACCCCTGGCGGAGCTCTCTCAATTGCTGACAAGGGCTGGCCGGGACCAATGGCTCCAGAACCTCCAGTATAAGAAAGTGTTTATAATCTTGACTTCTCAGAAGGTCTCCAAGTGCTATCAGCACAGGTGGTGTCCAGTTCCCAGATATTTTTCTCCAATAGCAGCCACTCTTACGACTGCAAAAGCCCACATTGTTACGTGTTCAGTTGGGGGTCCTCTGCAGCTGCTCTGCTCCTCAGCAGTTGGATGGGCCCTTTCTATTTTTTTTTCCTTTTTTTGCTTTTTCTTTATTATTATGTTCAATCAGCCAGCACACAGTACATCATTAGTTTTTGATGTAGCGTTCAACGATTCATTAGTTGCATATAACACCCAGTGCTCATCACCACACGTGCCCTCCTTAATACCCATCACCTGGTTATCCCATCCCTCCACCCCCACCCCCCTTCTGTAACCCTCAGTTTGGTTCCCGGAGTCCAGAGTCTCTCATAGTTTGTCTCCATCTCCGATTTCTTCCCATTCAGTTTTCCTTCCCTTCCCCTGCAGTCCTCCACGCTATTCCTTATGTTCCACATATGAAGCCATATGATAATTGTCTTTCTCTGCTTGATTTATTTCACTTAGCATAATCTTCTCCAGTTCCATCCATGTTGATGCAAATGGTGGGTATTCATCCTTTCTGATGGCTGAGTAATATTCCATTGTATATATGCACCACATCTTCTTTATCCATTAGTCTGTTGAAGGACATCTCGGCTCCTTCCACAGTTTGGCTATTGTGGACATTGCTGCTATGAACATTGGGGTGCATGTGCCCCTTCTTTTCACTACGTCTGTATCTTTGGGGTAAATACCTACTGGTCCAATTGCTGGGTCATGGATGGACCCTTTCCTAAAGGATAATCTGGTGTGTTCAGCTGGGCCTAGCCCCACCACCCCTCCTGCATGCCTGGGGAAGAGCAGACAGTGCAGCCTGTCAGTCCCTTGCCTAGGAGTTCCAGCAGGCACCAGGAGACACTCATGGTACTGCTGGAACCTTTTGCATGCCATTTTCTTTTTTATCTGTGGTCTGTGTCCCCCAATCAGAATGTGAAGTCCATGAGGTCAGGGAATTTTGTCTGTTTTGTTTTTTTTTTTTCACTGCTTCATCCTTAATGCTTAGAAAAGCACCTGATATTATGTTGAGTGAAATAAGTCAAACAGAGAAAGACATGTATCATATGATCTCACTGATATGAGGAATTCTTAATCGCAGGAAACAAACTGAGTGTTGTTGGAGTGGGGGGTGGGGTGGGAGGGATGGGGGGACTGGGTGATAGACACTGGGGAGGGTATGTGCTCTGGTAAGCGCTGTGAATTGTGCAAGACTGTTGAATCTCAGATCTGTACCTCTGAAACAAATAATGCAATATATGTTAAGAAAAAAAAAAGAAGAAGAAGAAGAAGAAGGTAGCGGGAGGGGAAGAATGAAGCGGGGGAAATCGGAGGGGTAGACGAACCATGAGAGACAATGGACTCTGAAAAACAAACAGGGTTCTAGAGGGGAGGGGGGTGGGAGGATGGGTTAGCCTGGTGGTGGGTATTGAGGAGGGCACATTCTGCATGGAGCACTGGGTGTTGTGCACAAACAATGAATCATGGAACACTTCATCTAAAACTAATGTTGTAATGTATGGGGATTAAGATAAGAATAAAAAAATTAAAAAAAAAAAAAGAAAGAAAAGCACCTGATATAACTAGAATTCAGTAATGTGCTGCATAAGCAAAATAGAAAGCTTTAAATATTTAATTTTAGAGAAATAGTAAAAGTTTTAAAAACAGCAAAATTATTGCTCAGGAAACTGATTAGCATATTAATTCTTGGTAAATTTAAGTTTAAAATTAATAGGAACTGGGGCACTTGGGTGGCTCAGTTGGTTAAGCGTCCAACTCTTGATTTCAGCTCAGGTCACAATCTCAGGGTTGTGAGATTGAGCCCCATATCAGGCTCCATGCTGGGTATGGAACCTGCTTAAGATTCTCTCTCTCTCTTTCCCTCTGCCCCTCACCACCCAAAATAAATAAATATACACATAAATAAATAAATAAATAAATAAATAAAAGGAACAAAAGAGGGATATTTGTATAAAAAAGTAACTATAAAATGGAAAGCATACTTCACTTGTTACAGATATAACTGGGAGGACATCATTTAAAGCAAAATGTCACAAATAACTCTTTGGAATAAAAGAATTATATACAGTAATGTATTTGAAAAGAAAGAAAATTCAATAGATGTTTCTCTAGCTTAAAATGAAAAATTTGGAAATTAAAAATGGGAAAAAAACTAAAGTTAAAACTCTCAAAAATACATGGACATATGTAAAAGGTAGTAAACTTCTGAATATTATGCCTTGAAAATCTGCCTGCAAAATAAAAATCAAAATTATCAATATTCTGAGAATAAGGCTTGTTATCAGAAGCACTAACATATGCTCCTGCATTCACTTAATAATGGCACTTAATCATTTATTGGTATATCAGTCCTTTTTACATAAATTTCCCAATCTTGGTCTGACCTAACAGGTCTCTCATATCTTTTGCCATAAAATGACAATGCCATCTGGCTATCTTTTGCTGTCCTTTGATGGTTAGTAACTACAAACACCCACACACTGTTAGCCAAATATTCTACGGCATAATAAAGTGTCAATTCAGCTCTTAAACAACAATAACCACCAAAAACAAAACAAAAAAACTAGGGCTTAAAAATCTGGGAAACAGGGTCAAGTTAAAGTCCTATGATAAGGTTCATATTCTATTACTACACTTTACAAATAGTAATAAAAAAAAAACTAAGTCAGTGAGTAAGCAAACTTAAATCTTAAAATCCCTGAAAATTTAAAAATATATATGGCAAGACTTCACTTAAACCAGTTTTTAAGAATGACACATCAATGTGATTACCAACCAGCAACTTCCCAGAAAGTATTCAGAGAAACAATAAATAGAATTTTGAACCATTTAATAATCCTGGCTCGATCTTTCATTTTTTCATACTAACAGAGATATATTCATATATATTTTGTAGAGGTTATAAACAGTAGCTTAATACATTCTCCTTATTAAACACTAGCTTAATACATTTTCCTCATTAAAAGCTGATGTAACAAATATCTGCTTCCAAGAATTACCTTAGAGTTATGCTGTGAGGCCTATCCAACAAAGGACAGTGTATCCCAAGTATACATGCAGCTTCTAACTTTCATTTGATTTCTTCTGAGTCTTTCATGTAGTTAAAAAGTTTAGACTTCTATACATATATTAAGTTT